GCACATTTAATCAATATAGTACAAATTATAAGAATCTGAAAGAATAAACTTACTAAACTACAGAATTGGTTTATATTATAAAGGACCAGGCAAAAACTATTAACAGGTATATATTTTGGACCATTTAATCAAATACAAACTTACTCCCTATAAGCTTGAAACTGCTTGGGAGCTTCTTGTATAAGTGCACCAGTATCGGCACATATTAAGGACCTTTTTCCAGTCTGGCACAAAGTCAATATACAAATTAGTAAACACTTATGGATTCCTGTGACAAGGATTTAAAACCCCCTATATTTTTCCAAGGATCAATACAGCAGTTTACAAACTTCAATTTTTAAAGTTTATATGAAGGATGGCATTGGACGTCCTTACAACAACATTTACTTGAGCAAATTTGAACTTAAAAAGGACCCAACAAAAAGAAGAGAAGAAGACCACTTTCAATAATAATTAAAAAAATATTCTAAAGATAAAGAAGATAAATCCCAACTTCCTTTATAATTGGACCTAAACTTTAAAGTGAAATGACTCCGAAATTAATGTTTTCTTTTAACTCGCATGTTGCCTCACATTAGTCACCTACATTTGGCAATCACATGCTCAATTAACCAAGGTAGTCAAGCCACTGAATCATACAATACAAAAAAATACAACTTAAATCTCTAGTTGACATAAAAAATAAAAAATAAAAACATTAGCTTATTATAACTTGAAACATTATTAAACATCCCCAGTTTTCAATCCAATCTTTCACCGGAGAGACCGATTTATAGATAAGAAAGGGCCCATACACATATCTCTCAGTTTCACTTTAATGTTGGCTGAGGCTTTTAAAGTTGCAGATTTCATGTCTAAGAGATTTGGAATTTCTTGTGATTTTTTCATTTCATCATAAAGACATTTTGCCCTCTTGCTTGTATTCACTCCATTACTGCTAATATATACTCTTTTCCTTATCTAACACCAATCTCCTCCTCCCCCCACCCACCCCCTCCCTCCGCCCCACAACAGGATCCACCCCTCCCATCCTCATCCTCACCCAACCCCCTCAAAATATAAAAATGTTGAAAGATAGCGATGCTATAAAACATTTATGCTGATAGGCATTCTATTATTCCACCCTCGATCCTATAATTCCTATCTTACAACGAAGCTCATGAGTTCCATGAGTTGTTGACCATTGCATGTAACATGACAACAAACAGCTAAAAAAATAGATGTTGAATTTTAAACATGCTAAAAGCAAGAAAAGACATAGTTATAGGATAGCAAAAACAACCTTGAGAGGAAGATTGGTCGTAGAATCCTAGCCAAGTAATATTTCCTAGAAAACCAAAGCAAGGGATCATATTAGGGGCTAACAAATAGGTTGAGGTAAAAGTTTACAGAGAATAAATTAAAAAATTAGGTTGACAAAAAACCTGGAACAGTATAGGACGAAGTAGAGCATATGCACTCATTTGTATAGATACACCATTCGCAATTGACAGTGTATATGTTCTATATCTGCGTTTCTTGAACATACGCTTTCTCAGCTGGTCCTTCATGTCTTGCAATCTGTATTTTCATAAATACATGAGAATTACGCCATCTGTGTTATGATATACAGAAAACTAATCTCACAATCTCAGCAAATTATTTACAAGAATACGAGAGGGGAACAAACCTTCCTTACATAATTTCTTCTAAGGTAACACACACACACAAAACACACACACACAAGGGAAAAAAAAAAAAAAAAAGGCTTTACTGCAATACTATGCCCATAGATCACAAAGAATGTGCAAGAAAACCAGGAAAAATTTTGATCTCAAACTCTCTATAGATGAGGGAACGAATTCAGCTAGAGCATCACCCTCCAATCCAAGCATGTCCTAAGCCGGCAGTGGTTTTCAGTATTTATATGAATCAAAGAAGCAAATGGAGAACAATATAGGGAAGACATTCACATACAGCATAGAAAAGGGACATGTTGAAGTCTCTATCAGGATTACTCAGGGGAAGAAGTTCAATTGAGATACCAAGATCTTGTGCATCCTGAAAATATGCAAAACAGTATCAAAATAAGAGCGACATCTCAGCCCAGCAAAAAGAGTTTTGCTCAATAGATCCTGAGGATTTTTACTTTAGCTCGTTGCAAAGTAGTCCTTTTCATGCCTAGCTTTGTTACTCCCTTCAAAGTCCCAAATGGATCATCCTCATTTGTAAACAGAAGCATACGTTTTTTCAGCTGTCTTTGTAGATCTGAAGAGAACCCTTTGGTCATATTTTCAGTTCAAGAGATACAGGTTTCACATACTGTACTGTAATGAAGGGCATAGAACAACAATGACAACAAACTGTTCAGTAGATGATATTACCCTTTGCGTAGAAGCGCTTGAGCAACCCAAAGGCATTGTAGAGGGAGTTCTCTCGTGATCCAGACACAATGCCATGTTGGCTTCTATGTTTTTCATGAAGGACTCTGAATGAACAAAAAAAAACCACGTGAGGCAAACATGTTGATCACATTCATATAGGCCCCCAACTATTTAATTGCAATACATTCATAAGCAAAAGCAACTATGTCACTCTACATCTATCCATCCCACATATTTCACTCCCTCAGGCTTTCATTTTTGTCCAATTCAGCCGTATTTCCCCCGTTTCCTACATCTCTAGATCCCTCTATGTGCACCTTTATACTTCCTTCCATACATATAACAACAAAGTAAAGGCACAGATACTGAAAGATGCTTGATAAACATATTACATTTATTATGATTATTATCCAAGTGATAGTTAACTTTGACATGTGGATATGCCTAAAACGCAAAGAAAATAGTAACTAATCCCTAAGTGGACCAAAATCATATACTTTCTCGGTTTATATTTGATTATCCTATTTGGAATCTTTGAAGATTCAAAAGAGATTCAAATGCTTACGGAATCTAATACTTTATTACTTCAATACATAGTCATGTAGAATCTTCGTAAATTTGTCTCGATTTTTAGTTTCCAAATATGCAACTTACATTTTTTTGTAATACATAGCTTGAAATATTTTAATTACAATATTGCACTAGAAAATGTGCAAAAAGCAAATAGGGCAAACAAAAAGATACTCCCTCTATTTTGTAATAATCGCAACTGTAGGTATTGCACAAAGTTTGAGGAAAATTATAGCGTGGGGACCAAAAAGTGAATTTTATAATATAAAGTATAGTCAGTGGGGATATTTTTAATTGTTAATAGGAAAGAGAAATAATAAAAAAGTAGTGTAAGTGGGGATAGTGGGAGAGAGAAATAATAAAATAGTAGTGGTCCTTTACCAAATAAGGTAGTGTTGCAATTATTATGAAACAGATGTAAAAGGAAAGTGTTGCGATTATTACGAAACGGGGGAGTATAGGAGTAAGACTAGACAATGCCAAAACTTATTTTCATTTTACAGCAAAAGTGTCCCAAACACATCAAATCTTTCTTAACCATGAAGTGTTGTCCAGAGTCTTTAGACGCACAAATTTTAATCCCCCGAATAATTGTGGTCAAGAGGGCATTGCTTATCTTTAATTTCTCATCCATTTCTCTAGGGTAATAACCTTCCATCTTCATGTTGCCAAAGAAACACTTTTCCTTCTATGTTTAATACGGAAAGAAGAACTGGCACATAAGAGTTGACAGGGAACAAAACCAGCAGGTCAAAATATCCCACAAGCCCCTAGATAAACTTCTTAGATGAATGCTCAAATTGAAGAAATAGCCTCCACTTCTAGTGACGAACCAACAAGCCTCCGAAGTCCTAACCGATAGCACACACAGTACCAAAACAATTCATTCCAACAGGCTTGACAACACTACCAGACTACCACTAGGGAGAAGCACCAAAAGAATAGTTTTAACATTAAGTAATTCTACAGAATATCTAAGATAAAATCACTTTCAAAACAAAAACCCTTCACAAACTGTCCAATATATTAGGCACACTAAATACTTGAAATGGTAGAGAAGGTCACACTAGAAGGCCCAAGTTTCTTCAGACCTAGGACAATGAATTTGACAATTGCAACATGAACATATAATAGCTGATTCTCTTCTCATAATTTTGTCTTCTTGTAATTATACAGCAAGGAGGCGGATTGGGATGGAGAGATGGATCCAGACATGACTTGGTTACGAATGAATGTTCCTGAGAGTGACCAAAGAGGTCTTAGGGGAATCAAGGGGAAGAACTTTGACGCAAAAAGATACTTCATGGTGGAATGAAGAGGTGAAAGCAGTAATTAAGCAAAAAAGGGAATGCTATCAAGCCTTGGGAAAATGTAGGAGTGACGAAACCTTTACAGCGTAAAAGGAGGCTAAGAGTAAGGCAAAGGCAGCCGTTCGACAAGCAAAAGAAGGCTTATTAGGAGGTTTATGAAAAGCTCGACTCCAAGGAGGGAGAAAAGATCATTTATAAGATGGCAAAGAGAAAACAAGAGGCAAGGAAGGATATTGGCATGGTAAAGTATGTCAACGATAAGAACTAAATTGTCCTACTACAAGAGGAGGACATCAAGGACATGTGGAAGGGGTACTTCGATGAATTGCTTAATTGAAGTAATGGAGTTGTGATAGGAGATACCTCCGTGAGTGATAAAGAAATCAACATAGAGTATGTGCAGAAGATTAGAAGAGTAGATATGGAGATTGCACTGAAGAAGATGTAGCCTAAAAAGACGGTTGGCCCTGCTCGTACACCGATAGAGGTGAGAGGTGTTTGAGTAAGATTGGTATTGATTGGTTAACAGACCTCTTTAACAAGATATGGAGGGCTATGAGGATCCCGCAAGATTGGAGGAAGAGCACCTTGGTCCCCGTTTATAAAAACAAAGGAGACGTTCAAGATTGTTCTAACTATCGAAGGATCAAGCTTATGAGTCACACTATGAAGTTGTGGGAACGAGTGATTGAACATAGGTTGAGGGCATGCACGCATTTCGAATAACCAATTTCGTTTTACGCATGGGAGATCTACTATGGAAGCAATCCATTTGATAAGACAAATGATGGAGTTTTATCGGGTAAAGAAGAAGGATCTTCATATGGTCTTTATTAATTTGGAGAAGGCATATGACAAGGTGTCAAGAGAGGTACTTTGTGGCAATGTTGAAGAAAGGTATCTCCCAAAGGTATGTGGACCTAGTTAAGGATATGTCTCAGGATGTGTCATGTGAGGACATGTGGAGGGTTGACAAAAGATTTCCCTATCACAATTGGATTGCATCAAGGGTCTGCATTAAGCCCTTTTCTTTTTGCAACGGTTCCAGATGAAGTAACTACACCAATTCAAGATGAGGTTCCATGGTGTATGTTGTTTGCGGATGATATCGTTTTGGTGGATGAAACTAAAGATAGGGTTAACGGTAAGTTGGAGCAATGGAGGCAAAGGTTGGAATCTAGAGGGTTTAAGTTAAGTCGGAGTAAGACTGAATATTTGGTATGTCGTTTTGTTAAGTACCGGGGGACAAGTGATGAAGTGGTGAGTTTGGATGGAAAGGAATTGACCATGAGTGACATTGATCATCCAGAAAAATGGTGACATTGATCAAGACGTGGCCCACAAGACTAAGTAGGGGTGGCTTAAATGGAGAGCAGCGGCCACGGAAGTGTTATGTGATCGAAGCATTCTTTTACAGTTGAAGGAAAAATTCTACTGCCATAAGACCAATGTTGCTATGGTACAGAATGTTAGGCTTCTAAAAAAGAGCACATCAATAAAAAATGGAGGTTACAAAAATGCACATGTTAAGGTGGATGTGGAGTAACAGTCTAAGAGATAGAATCAGAAATGAGGTTGTTTGCAAGAAAGTAGGTGTGGCAGGCATTGCAGACAAACTAAGGGAAAATCGTATGCATTGGTTTGGGCATGTAAGACGGTGACCCGAGGGTGCACCGGTTCGAATAGTGGAAGAGTGGAACCATGGAGGGGTTAAACTAGAGAGAGGGGACCAAAAATGACTTGGTTGAAAGGAGTTAGGAAGGATATGAACTATATTTGCATGAGGATGAAGCATTAGATCGTAAGGGATGGAGGAGGAAGATTTTTGTGAATGACTACACGAAATAATCAATTTTGGTTCATGTAGCCAACCCCACTTATGGAATTAAGGCTTTGATTGATTGATTGTAAATTGAGAAAAAGTGGAGAACAATGTATAAATGAAAACCATAAGATTATTAGAGTTACGGCGTGTCAAATCGAATAAAAAAAAATGGCTTTACCCTCAATTTGATCAAATTCTTTTATTAGCCTGGCAGTTGGCCTGCCAAGACCATCTTCACCGGCAACTGTAAATACAAAAACACCACTTATATCCTGCAAATTCTTCTTTTCTCGCTGCAAATGATGACAATCGGAAAAAAAAAAAAAAAAAAATCCAGATATTAAAGCATAGTTTATATTGAAGCACATAGAACTCATTCAATTCTTGCTAATCAAACTCAAAAATGACCACAAACACATAGTATATAATTGAAAAGACTGGAGTAAACAGAGAAAACACAGATGAACCACTAGCAAGCAACAGCAATTTTGATATGATTCACATAAAGTTATTACTGAAAAAGACATATCAATTCATAAAGTAGATGGCAGATATTAGCATTTCAATAGCCCTAGTTATTTCTCTACTAGACCAGAACCATATATATTCTTCCCTCTACTTGTGATATTTCCAAAGAATACACTTAGATTTCAGAAAGTATCAAAACATCCGAAAATTCCTTTTACAAAGATTAATGGATTTCATAACACGATGCAGGGCATAATAAACAAAAACAAAAAAAAGAACAAATCCAAAATGGCCTTGATGCACACTTAAAAATTCAAAATAACCTTTCTCTAAAATCTCCTATTACAGTCCCTAACTCTTTCGCTCCTTGCAAGAGTTGCAGGTTGAGGGTTACAAGGCAACAGGCCAGCAGTATAATCTTATCTCTGACAAATTGAAGGATTGCAGGGGTCAATATCAGTCACATTTTTTATTTCAATGAGCAACCAACTACAGCATATGGAGGTGCAAGTCCCAATCTTTTTTGGAAAGTTTAGCTAGTTAGCAACATGTCACAAGAATGTACAGATGCAAGTCTCAATCTTTTTTGGAACTTCAATTGACTCATGTGAGTTAGACAAGCTGTGCCAAATGCATCAGCTACATTCAAGACAATATCCAGTGAAGCATGAAAATGAATACGCAAACTATCGGGACAAACACTGCAATAATTTAAATTATATGGTAACAATAGTTCCAAAGATATAACTCATGGTAGAACTATGGGTCAACACTCAACAGATCTAACTAAACATTGGAGAATGACTTACAGTGTTGTAAAAACAAATTGCGATCTCATCATAGGAACTACTAATAATACGAATCTTCAAGGACTCGGAGATACAGCTGATAGCCATTTGAAAATGAGTATGATCTTTTTTATCTTCCTGCGAGGAAAAAAAATGGTTATGCCAACAAAAATGAATTCAGTCAGTCATCTGTTAAAATGATGCATGGTCAATTTAGACTGTCACACACTGTAGATAGATAAAGCCATGGTACACACTAGTTCAAAACATTTCCATGCATCCTAATCTTCTTCCTTTCTGTTTAGATGATAGACATTTTAATAGCCCAAAATTAAAAATTACTCTTCCAATTTTAAGTCTCAAAAAGCTGTTCCTGTACAACTTCACATTCACATCCTATGTTATTCATATTCTTCATTTCACCTTGAGTGCCCATGTTGGACCCTTCATTTTAGTTCAAAATCAAGGAACTTTTTCACAAAACAGGCGAGTCGAATACTTGGACACATACCCATGTCAGACATGGGCACCCAAGTCCAAGTAACATAGACACATCTTTGAGCATTGATATAATAAATTTATATTATTAAAAATGAAAGACAAATCTAAAAAGACCCCGTATGATTAACTTTTTCTTATATCAATGGGTACTGAGTACTACTCCAATAATCAAGAATATCTTTCTAGATGGGAGTAAAAGACTGATCCGTTGCCCTCCGTTTCTAGAAGTTCGAATCATTTACTATACCCGGAACGGAGGGAGTATATATTATCAGTTATAGTAATTCGAGCAAATTTAACTTCCAAAGAAAAATCGAGAAAATTGGCCAAACAACACATGCACTAATATATAAATACGATAACTGAGCTTAATTTCAATTAATATTCAACAAATTGCCTACAGTAAGTAATTACAGTAATACTATAATAATGAAGAAAAACTTACAGAAGGACAAGAAGTGGAGAACATTTTGGGAGAAGCGTCAACAACGTAAACCA